GCTGCAAAAATATCGATTTTCTTCATTTTCTTTCTTCCTTTCAGTCAGCTGTAACTCATAAACCACAGTGCGCCTACTTCCAGCCGTCACACAAAAACACTTCAATACTCCCTAGGATGTGCCTTTCAAAATTAGAGCCTCAAGTGATTACGATGGGTTACTTACAGCCTAAAATATATGCATTGATACAGATTGTTAAATATTGCCCAATACGCATATTAGTCAATAGATGGTGCTATTTTCGCTGCTAACCGTAACAAAAGTGCAGAAACTAGTAACAAAATGTTTTATTCTAAAATTTTGGGGATGTTGGGATGAACAAAGTTCAGAAACTAGAGAGCATTTGAAATGGTATGCATTACCCATTGTAGCATTCCACTACTCGTATACACTGCAGTCACAGCGTGGATGTATGTATACGTTAGGTGATGGAATGCAGGAATGGGTAATGCATCCCATCTCAAATGCTCTCTAGTTTCTGAACTTTTTCCATCCCAACAATTTTAGAATATATTTTTTTTGTTACAACTCGTAAATAGAAACGTACTAAACACTACTTGTATTTCCAAACTGGTTTAGTTTATTGTGGAATATCCTAATAGAAATCACAATAAAATATACTATATTTTCAAAAGAAACAACAACAATCTCTTGAGTTGTCTGGCTGCTCTATATCAATGAATATTGGGATCGACAGTCATATTATACCGTTCCCACGGCTGGAAGGTCGAGCATTTCAGCGACGGGTTTCGATCCTGCGACACGCAAATTTCCAATCAAGCGCCCTAACTAAGTACAAAAGCTACCTTTACATTCTTATTATAAAAAGTATAAAACATATTACCAGTAGGTTTTTGATTCTATTAAAATAAAGCTCAAAGTGAAAGGTGTAAAAAGTAACACAGGCCTGCGATGGTTATATTGTCTTGAAATTTTTACATGTTCTACAGTATTTCATCTACGCCGAATCCGAAAATGATATCCATTTTTCTCCATCACGTACAGATTTTTCACAAAACGTCATATGTTGTACTTTTACATCAGTGAATCATTTTCACTGAAATCGGGTCACAATTTGTTATGCTTAAAATGTTGACAACCTCTGGCTATAGATTTCTCTAAACTAATCGCGACATGATAGTTTTATCGATCGTTCTAGAACCCACGAGAAACACACATAATAATAAAAATGTTCATTGTGGCAAACGGAATAATAATTTAATCCAAGTAAGAGTTTTTCTTCCCGATTTGTAAAAATTCCTTACGTGATAGAAAAAAAATAATATTATTTTCGAAATCTGCGTAGCTGAATTATGGAAAATCCGTTATTAAAATCTAAACAACTTCCATTAAGTTTAAATTCGCAGGCCTGTGTAATCATTACTGTCTTAAAAAACAACAACAAGAGGAAATATTGATATCGTTTGGACACGATATTGATAAAAAAATTCCATATTTCCAAACTGGTTCTGTCCATTAGAAAATTTTAATAGAAGTCACAGTAAAACCCATCAATTAAAACAATCACAAAGCTACTTTTAATTCTCAAAGTTTCATTACAAAATATGTTGCTGTATGACTGGGAGTTTTGTTATTTCATTAAAGTAAAATTGAAAGTAATAAATAATCATTACCATTTATTACTTTTGCTTCTCAAAGTTTCATTACAAAATACGTTGATATATTACTGGGAGTTTTATTATTATATTAAAGTAAAATTGAAAGTAATAAATAATCATTTACTCTTTGAGAAACACGAGATGATCTTTGAGCTTGGAAATCACAAAAAGCAACGTATTAAAACTGTCATGCATTTACTAACTTATTTTGTGAATAAGAGAATCCTCATTACAGTAAAATCTAAGAATTTCTCAAAACACACAATGTTATCTTTATTTCTGTCGATCGTTTCTAGAAATTATGTAAATTTTATTATCTAGAGTTTAGTTTTTCTAATTTAAAAAGTGTAAAAAGTAGCGAGGAATCACAATTATTTGTGAAATATATTTTATATTATAATTTGATATTATAATAAAAATATACTATAAAATTACTTCTATTTCCAAACTGATTTTGTCCATTAGGGGATCCTAAGAGAAATCATAGCAAAATCCATCAGTTTTTGAAAAAGCTTTACTTTACTTCTGATGTTACAAAAAGTGTGAATATATTACCGTTGAAATGAAATTAAAAGTTATAAATAATTATTACTTTTTGAAAAACACAAAATGTGTTTTCGTTTGTATATCACAAAAAGAAAAGTATTAAAATGCATTTATTTTCAATAAGTCAGTTTTATCAATTTGGGGAACCTTCAGTAACACTTATGAATATAAGAAAATATAGAAAAAATCAACTCTTGTTGAACAAAAGAATTACTTTGATTCTCGCATTCATTATATAAAAAAATACATTTAATCCTTCGTATTTATCATTATTTTAGAATACAGTTAAAACATCAATAAAAAGTACGTTTTCATAACACTGTAAAATTATTATCAACCATAAACATCTTCATCGTTCGAAACATAATTAGTGTTTTGGTTATAACAATATTATTTCAAGCCTTCTAGAAACCTTCTGTAATTGTATATTTGTTATGATAATCCCATATATTGCGATTCCTTAGACTGTTAATACTAGAACTAGGCATTACCATCTGGTCTAGAAACTGGAAAATTTTTATACTAATAAAAAAATGTATTTCTATTTTGTTTTCGGTTTTACAACTTGAATAACACATTATTTAGCCGTATTTTTAATGTTTCTGTACTGTAACATACTCTGAGATTCATGACATGATACGTAAACAAAACAAAAACAAAATACACAGGTTTCACTAAGTTAACAGCTACTTTCCTTAAGATGCTGATGAGTATTTTATAGCGATACTTCAGTTGTCTATATGTTCAAATACACAGACATATTTCGTGTTTGACGTATATATATATATATATATATATATTTATGAAGTTCACATGTAAACAACCACTTAAACCTAAACATACTAAGCCCCCAGTGGCACAGCGGTATGTCTGCGGACTTACAACGCTAGGAATCGGGTTACCATACCCATGGTGGACAGAGAACAGATAGTACATTGTGTAGCTGTGCTTAATTGCAAGCAAGAAATACTAAACATATTTTTTTGATGTCACTTATATACTTGCTTAAAAAATAATGTAATATATCTTATAGATATCCATTACCTCTAAATCCGTTTTTGTCGTTTCTCCTTCTACCTCTATGACGTTCTGGACGCGCTAATATTCCTGTTACCAGGAGAGCGATGAAGAAGATAACTTTGATCATTTCTCTGATGTGATGGCGAAAGAGATTTGACAATGTAGAACCTGTGGTTGGTGACATCTGAACACTGAAATTACAAGTATTTATATAATCATACAGTAGTCATGTAAAGGAGTCGGCTCTGGTGGAAAAACGTCATATTGATGCAACTAATAATAAATGTTATACAGGATCTGCCAACTAAAATAGTACCATAATGACGTCGGACCCAAGTAATTCAATTGTTACGTCTTTTACATATTTGTTTTGTCTATTTCCGTTTCCAACGTTCCTGGAAATTTCGCTGTTTCTATTACCAGGATGGTGATATTTTTATTATGTATTTGTACAAAGAATGAAATGCAGAAGATAGGAATCTGACTTCCTTTTATTTCTATTTTGTTGTAGTTCTTATGACATGTTTTTTTTTTGGTTTAAACTTTAACGTGCTGATTAATTTTATCAACTATATTTAGAATATAAACAGTTGGTTATGCCACTCGTTTGGTGGAATAACCTAAAGATCCGTTCGAGCTTTGTTAACCTAAAGATCCGTTTGAGCTTTGTTTAGAAACTCGATCATTAAACACAACGACTGATTCAAACCCCACCTACGGATATTGTTGTCAGGTGGCTGCAAATACCGTGCTATGTTATTTACGTCATCTGCAGGTTAAGTATAAATGAACACTAGTGTTAAGTGTCTCTATTATGTGAATAATTAGTTGCCTGTGTGGCTGTGAATAGTTTCCTTTGTGGCTATTGTCTATCCAGGATATCCTTGAATAGACATACCATAATATTATTCTCAAGATTAAAGCTCAAACAGTGCTTTAAAGCGGTACTTTGTTTCAACTCCGAACTTGTCAAAAAAGTTTTTAAAAAAATGATTTTCTCTAAAACGTCCAAAGAAACTAGTTAGATATGTAAGTTATAAAACAAGTAACTTCGGTTAAAGGTAAATTTAATGAGATGTTTTTGCTATATGATCGTAAAATGATTAATTCATAAATATGTTATCCAAAAGTAATCCATCAAATGAGAGCAGACCAACTGAAACCGTTGAACTCGGGAAGGCTGCTAGTCAAAACCATTCACCACTAATTCTTGGACTATTATAATGCCCCCACAGTCAAAAGGACGAATATGTTCGGCAACAAGTTTCGATCCCGAGCACCATAACCACTAGACCATGCCAACTTATTTAAGAGAGCGAATTACAGTGTATCTTCCGTATACTGGTCTGCAACTCCTTCCAGAAAAACTTTCTTTATATGTTCTTTATATTTAAAACTGGGCAGAGCTACGGATCTGAGCGCTCTTGGTTCACACATAAAGAAATGTCTCTTTCCGCACTTTGTGGTCGTTGGTACAAACAAACAAACAAACTATTCAATTAGAGAAACACAGCAGTAAGCTATCGGAGATGCCTTCTCTCTTGTCTATCAGTTGAATATTAGGAACTGCTGTGCGCAAATATTCGAAACAAACAAACTTATCTAAAATTATTTTACAGGACATTTTGGATATCAATGTTATATGTAAACTTTTTTTTCTTTTTCTGCAAATCTCTGAAATCAGTTGAATTAAAAGTTTTGGAGAATACTCCTTTCATTAGATTTAACGTAAAAGCAATAAAAATATTTGTTGCTGTCTATAGCAAACATTTGTTTATTGACTATGGACCAGTTTTTTTAATTCTTCTTTTATAATTAAAAAGTTCCTAACAATACATAGTGCAAGATAGCTTTGAATTTTACTTGTTTGTATAAGAAAAAAAGGTAAAAGTCTAATTAAATTTGGAAATTTCTACATGGTACTTTTATTTCGCATTCCTTCTAGTCTTGTTTTGTATTTATTTTTTAGAGTATTCCTAGATTATGGTTTGTATGGTCACCTTTTCAATGCATGCTTATGTTTTCCGTAAATTACAACCTTAACAAAGTCGTGCTGCTTGCATAGTTTTTCGTCTTTTGAAAAATATACTCCCTCTACCGACACGAAATATCTGACTTCCCTACTATTAGGTCACGCGGTGAGTCAGTGGTAACTTTACGGATTTATAACACTAAAATCCGGAGTTCGATTCTTCGTGGTAAACAGAGCGTAGATAGCTCATTGTGCTAAAAAAAAAGCACCAAAAACCAACGTGTTAAAGACGATCTTTCTTTCTATCAGTTGTTAAAGACTATTATCATATTTTGATAAAACAGACACACTTACATTATTTTAGTGCCCAGTTTAATTCACTAGTCTACACTCTAAATCTTGCACATGTCTGCCAGTGGCACGGCGGTATGTTTGCGGACTTACGATGCTAAAAACCGGGTTTCGATACCTGTGGTGGGCAGTGCACAGATAGCCCATTGTGTAGCTGTGCTTAACTTCAAACAATATATCTATCACAACATATATTTCTCCTTATAACACTCCACATTATTTTATATTATGTTTCGATTTTCACTCCATCCCTTCAAGGAGCTCCTTCACAATTATTTAACGGGCGACGAGGGACCCTTGTCCCTAACCGCCCCTAGTCTAACCTAAATTTCTCCTACGAGCTGTACTTATGGTATTATGCACCAACAACCCATTTGAAGGAACAGCACAAGTAGAGGGCAGTCGATTTATTTTTGTTATAAAGATAAAGAAATTATACTGAAGATTTCTAAACATATATTTCAAAAGTTATTCCACTTTGTCACAAAATAGTCCTACGTTGACAGAATGCTGTATAATCGAATAAACAGGTAGCTATGGATCTTAGTGAAACTTCTACGATAACAAATTTATTTCTATACACAAATCTTTGGTTGCGTCAATACCATGTAGAATTTAAACACTTATACACAGTTAACCACTACAGTCTAACACAAGAACCTATCCCTTACATCATTGGTAAACTTACGAAGGAAGTCTGAAGAAATAATATACACATATGTATGATCCTCACAAAGAATATATAACCGTGTATCTAGTAAAATATATTGATGAGATTAGGAAACAACTGAATATAACCATTCTGTTTAATTATTGTAATCAAACGCAGGTATTCTCGTGAATTAGTTTTGGATTATTATGTTGAGTAAGAGCGATTTGTTTTGAATTTCACGCAAAACTATACGAGGGCTATCTGTGCTAGCCGTCCCTAATTGATAGACTAGAGGGAAGACAGTTATTTTGAGTAGAAATTAATCGAAGCCTGAAGTATAACAGAAATATATTTTGTACATCATAGTGTTAATTACTAAACGTGGTTTGAAAGAAAATGAATTGTAAGAATGAGACCTTGAAAAAAATTCTTATTGTATCAACATTCAAATATTTTCATTGGTTGATTTAAATAGGTAGATCGTGTAATATGAAATTGAGTAATTATATCCCGGATACCGTTATGAGCTGTGTAATAAAATGTAAGTTGAACATATGAAGTTGAATACATTCACGCGAGCAAAGAAATGCTTGTAACATTGTTGTTAATAGATACGATTTCTGACTTAATCAACTGTAACAGTTTCCTTCAACAATATACATATTTAGTGTACGTGTAAAGATGTAGGGATTTAAGGGAAGTGACATCAATGACTATATTACGTGACTTTGAGGGTATTAATATTAATAAGTGTATTCTAAGTTTTCTGGTTAATTAAACTCAGCTAAAGACATTAAAATGAAAAGTAGAAATTGCTTATTGGGCTTAGGGAAAGGCAGAAATAACTGACCTCCCATATAAATTAGAATTTGTTTTCTTAAAATTGATATTTCTCTATTACGAAACATAAAATGGTAAAATTGAATATATTTCATTTCTTTAACAGCGTTGTTCATATAAGTTGCTTAACGACTTTTATTTTTATTCAATGTTCTGTGCTTAATGTATTAAACTCTTAAAAATCTATTCGTACATAAGACTTTTTTTGATAAAAAAAGGAAGCTACAGAATATTTCTTGGCAAAATCTATCAAAGTACAGACCATTTAGATCATGTTGTGCGTATTAGGAAGTAATATACAGATATCATAAATATAGAATAAGCTTTATTAAAAGCCTAAACGTAAATGAGAATACCAGGTGTTCATTTTCAATAAAAGTGAAAGCATTGTTTCAGTAATAATTAAGTCAACTCACTCCACTACCAGTAGTGTTATTATTAGGCCTAGTACGTTTTCTTACTTAGATACGTACGTAAGATAAGACAGTTGATATTGAAAACAATATTCTAATAAGAATTAATTTGTATTTGTTTGAAGTTAAGCACAAAGCTGCACAATGGTTTATCTGTGCTTTGCCTACCACGGGCATCGAAACCCGGTTTCTAGCATTGTAAATCCGCAGACATGCCGCTGTGCCACTGGGGGGCATTAATATTAATCTATATGACTGTGTGTTTAGTACGTATATGTTACTGATAAATCGCCTTATATTAAAAAAAAATAAACATACCGAAAAGTTTTTAAAGCTGATTGTTAGCTCGTGGTTTTTACGTGCAAATGTAAATATGTTTCATTAAATCTACCTGCCGATTGTATTCTATAATACGACTTGTGACGGATTTATCATTCTATATTTATTTCAATATCGATGTTTCTTTAAATTAAATTAATATTTACAAATATACATAACGTATACTATCAAATATGCATTGCGAAACTCCCGCCTATTCTCTAAAGTTGTGGAAGATTCTTGAGTGTAAGAATCAACAATATATGTGTGTACGTAAACGCCACTGTAGCTTTGTATTGTGACGTAATCTGAATTTTCGAGAAACTCTCCACACGCCTATAAATATAACCAACGCAACTCGCCTAAAAAGAGTATCTATTATTGGGTTCCTATAAATTTCGGAAGCTATAACTGTGATTGTTATAACGCTTATTAATCGAAAACTTAAGATATTTGATCAGGAATGTTTATAAATTTCGAACATTGCAAACCATTTAACTTCAGTGGATTCACGTCGGACATTAATACTTTTACGAAAACATTACCTAACGCCACCGGTGGAATCTCGACCTGTAATCGGCGTGTTATCAATGAGAACTACAAGACTAGCTAGTTCCATGTAAGTGAATTATACCTACATCA